GTTGCCACTTGTCCAGTCGTTACCAGGGTCAGGCCCTTGGTTGAGTCTGGCAATGTTTCAGAACAATCCTGTATAGCAGACTCGGATAGCTACTGCTCTTGCCCCAAGGAGGATCTGCCACTGTTGGCTTTAGGGACACAGTCTGAGCTCCATCCCTGGGATCCAGAAGTAGCGCTCAGGTCTGCTCCGGTGGGAGCCTCTCTGCACTGTCCAGATGGACACTGGCAGAACGCGGATGACTGTCCTGTGCACAGTAACCTCACCCCACTTCAAGTGAGCACGCAGCCTCCACTTGCTGCGTGCCTGCTCCTGACTGGGGGGCTGGGAACATCAGCTCGGAGCTCTGCGCTGGCCAGGAAGGCCGAGAGAGAAGGTGACTCCTGCCGGTGCGGGAGGCTCCCCCGAGGCAGGGCCCAGGGTGTGAGAAGCCATGTCTGGCTGGCAGTGTCCCCTCTGCCATGCAATGGTGGTCCCAGTGGAGGTTTCAGGAAATATAGGCGGTGCCCAGAGAAGAGGAAGCGGCAGCTCTCCCTTGGTCATTCCCCTGCTGAGTGGAGGATGCATGGCAAAGGCAGTTGACATCAAGGGAAATGCTTCCATTAAAGTATCAGTCCCTGAAAAGCATTGCAGGTGCGCCCCCTCCCCTTTAGTTTCATCCACCCTTTCTGTAAAGGGGAGACCTTTTTTTTTGTCTAAAAGTGCTGGGAGCTCAGGGGATGCAGCTTTTAAATTGAACATCGCTCCAGGTGTCCTCTATGTAAATTAAGGAGCTCAGGTGGTGCCCATGGCTTATGCATTGAGCTGCTAGCAGCAAGGTCAGTGGTTCAAATCCACCAGCCACGCCCAGGGAGCAAGGTGAGGCAGATGCTGCCATAAAGATTTAAAGTCTGGGGACTCAAAGGGCTCTTTCTGCTCTACCCCTGGAGTGGCCGTGAGTTTGGGATCGGCTCGATTTGGTCTCTCTTAAGTGCCATTCGCGCCTCAGACTAAGACCTACCCAGAACGGGAACCACGCTGGCAAGAATCCTCCAAAAAATGAGCGCCCGCTCTTGGATCCTGGAGGCAGTTGCTCATGTCTGCTAGTCGGCTCGAGTCTGAAGGACCCTCGGTCGTGTGTGTTTCTTAGGAGGTTCTCTGTCCGGAAGCCCTGCTCGTAGCCTGTGAGTGTTTGCTGTTGTTGAAACTACGAAAGCTGGTCACAGAGCACGGAGTTCAGGGTTGCAACAGCTCTGAGGACCCTGATTGAGTCCGTGCCAGAGTAATGGCCGACTGCCAGGACCGCAGGCGTGACCTCTCTTGGGGAGAGGTTTTGAAGAAAACCCGACGGCTTCCTGCCTTTTGGAAATACCTATACGTGGAGGCCCCTCTCCCACCTGAATCTGGCTCGGTCTTCCCCTAAGGTTGGAACGTTCAACCAAACATCCAACCACAGACGGGACCTCGGTCTGGGGACCAGGGCCAGCATGGTCGTGGGAGGGAAGGTAGGAAGCCTGTAGTGTTTTAACCCTCTGACTGTAATGCTTTCTTCTCTTGAGACGTACACCAAATTGTATTGTATAAGCTTGGACGCTTTCAGACACTGCTGTTATCGTTATGCACACTCATACAAAACCACATGCTATGTGCGCTTTAGACCGGGTGTCATTCTCAGGCGCTGTGTCTGGCGTGTAGAAATAAGTGTTGGTTAAGCGGCTGTACCTGTGAGCAGGTGAACTGAGAAATGCGATTAGCTAAGCTCCAGTAAGGGGCCCTTTGCTACACGAGCTGCTGGCGGGTTTGAACCGTCCACCACTAAGTTATCAGCCAAGTGCTTTCAGCACTGCCCCCCCACCCCCACCCCTTGCTCCCTGTTCCGCT